AAGTTTTTGCAGTAGCAAAAGTTAACTTTTGAAAAATTCAGGCCATAAGTTCACTTATTTAGTTGTGAGAAAAGATAAAAAGTAGGAAATGGAAACAAGAAAACAACAACAAAAAAACACTTTCCTAAGACCTTCAAGGAAGGGTTGATGTAAGACTCTGACAGAATGATAACCTCAATTCAGAGCAGTTGTTTATTGTATTTATTTTGGTACATTTGTTTGATCAGGCTGTGCCAATAGCTCTAACATAACTTGACCTTAGTGAGTGATGGCCAGCTCTTTCTTGGGTCCAGTTCAAACTTTGTAATCACATCCTTCTTGGCTTAGTTAGGTCTCAGTCGATCAGAGGTCTTCATATCCAGGCCTCAAGATCCGGTTTCCCACAATTTTTGGGTGCGTCTCTGCTTCAACACACAAGATCAAAAAATGTAGTCAGCAGCAAGACTCTGGAGAACTCGAGTGCGTACTGAGGAGGTGAATTAGTCTTTTTTCCTCAGGTGTGGTGAATCAAGGACGCAACTAAAAGTTGCAAGACGCGGGTCCTCAAGAATTGGATTTGAAGATCCCAGAAGTGGACTTTCCCCACAAGGATTGTTCACGCCTGGCATTAAAAGCCATCCCGACTTATCAGATCTCTGTTACCTGCTTTATAGGTAAATCAGCACATAACCACAGTACAGGGTGACTACAACATCCAAAAAACGCATTTCAGGTAGCTGTTTTCATTTTTAATAATCTGACCACAGTACTGAATTTTTCTTTTTCAAGCTAATGCAAACTCAAGTGTCCGAGATCTTCTCAAAAAAAAAAAAAAAAAAAAAAGTCTGAACACTACAGCACTTTAGCTGGCATCTCATTAAATGGACTTTAAACCATAGAAAGGGTATAATGTTTATTTTCTCTGTGGTTTAAAAGCTGTAGCTTTTTAAATACTTAGTAACCAACCCGTGTCTCTTCTACAGCCAGAGCAATAATTAAAGTTTAAAACAATTGGAACTCTGACAAGCGAAGCTGGATGAGAGCCAAAGTTTATGGACTGCTCACAATGGGGAAGGTGGAAGGGAAGTAAAAGGAAAAAGAAGCCCAAATCCCAAAGAGTGGCGTCTTCCGGTAACCACATTTCCATAACAACCGTCTCACTTTGAGGCTTTTCAAAGCGTTTCACTCCCCAGTTTTCATCGCGAGCAGTGAACGCTTCTTGGCTCGACTCAGAAGTCTGCGGCCTGGTGCCAAACAAGTTCTTATCCTCTCTACCAAGATGAACGCTGGTGTCTGCTCTCTCAAGACGTCGCGCTCTGCCTCGGAGGATCGGCAGTGCATTATTTGGCCGGGGGATAATTAAGGAGCCACATCTCGCACACAACTCAAGCTGCCGAGACTCCCGTCCTCGTGATGTGAGGTTCATTCGGGCTGGAACTGCCAAAAAAATAAAAAATAAAAATTCCCTCCCGGCTCATTTGTTAAACATTCCCTGAGAGATGGCATCCCAGACATGTATTGTCAGCTGCAAGGGCAGACCACCAGAAATAATCACCAAGAGAATGTCTTGTTGGAGTTTCTGCTGGGGGCCAGGGTCCCTTGAAATTAATTAGTTTCTTCTTTTGATGGAAGGTCAGCAGTTGGTTGTTATCAGGGTTTCCTGTGTTGTCTGGAATTGGGTGGAATGAGATTTCACTATTTTACAGGTCTGGTTAAGCAGGACAAAGAGAACATGGAAAAATTCAAGATTTCATTCCTTTCCCCAGTATCTAAGTGTACTGTACTATTGTGCTCTTTTCTTCCTTTACCTTTATCTTTTTTGTGCTTTCTTCTATATTGTAATCTTCTGTTATTGTCATTCCTTATTTCTTTGTGTTCTTTCTTTTCCTTGTGTGGTTCCTTCTGTTTTTTACATTTTTACTTCCTCCCTTGTTCACTCCTCAAATTCTTTCTACCATTTTTCCTTGTGTCCTTTCTTTTCATGTTATTCCTCCCATTTCTTCCTTGTTTCGCACCTACATACTCTTTTTTTCTTTCTTTTTTTTTTTTTACAAATTGCCTTTCTTTCCTTTCCTGCGTCAGTCCACTTTCCTTCCTTTGTTCTTGTTTTCACACATTCCAGATTCAATTTAAAGAAGTCTCCATTTTCTTCATGAAAACTGTAGGAACCCTTATGTTGCAGAGCGTCAAAGTTCACTAAATGCTACTTTCTTCATTTCCTTTTAGTTTTTTTTTTTATTCATGATAACAGCCTTCTACTAGTGTGAAAATTACCCATGGTTTCACCATAAAGTAGTGTTCAAAGAGAGCTATCAAGCATTGAAAATGACTCAACACCCCAGCTTTGAAGCAACGAGCCATTTTCATCTGGATGCTGCCGCCGGGTTTCAGTTCCCTCCACAGTCACAGGGGGCAGTGTTGCCCTGTGATCCAACCCCGGCTGTCCGGAGCTCAGCTGCTCTCGTTTCCGCCGCCTCTCTTCCTCTAAAATCCTTCGTCTTGTGTGTCCTTGTTATTGTGATGAGCTGCGCCTAATTCCAGAGCAACCACCGGACACTTGGAAGCCGTCCCTTCTAATCTGCTCCCGAGTCAAGGCCCGAGCTTGGGAATCTGCCCGACAGCGAGGCCGTAGGCACGACAAAGACTGATTTGAGACTCGGGGACTCTCAGGGTCTCCCAAAACGCCAGAGCAGTGGCTCTCTCTCACCGCCCCGTTAATCAGCAATGACACCACTCGAATTGCCAGTCAGTCTGTTCGCAATTAATCTTTTCAACTGCGGATTTAATGCTGTCAATGCTCACGTACCACAGAGAGTCCCATATTAATGTAGCATCATTGTCTTTTGGATCACTAAAGAGGGGCTTTTAAATTGAGGATTGAGCCCAGATTGGTCAGATGGAGACTTTTTGTTTCTGTGCTGTTTGGACAGCTGCTTCGGCTCCATGTTTAGATCTCATTGATTGTCTTTGAATTTTTTTTTTTTTTTCTGGCTTAGTTTTCATTCTCACCTTTTGCTTATTTTAGATCTCATTTTGAAAGTGAGGTTGCTTTGAGATTAAACCTCTGCAAAAAAAAAGAAGCGAAAAACAGCAGTGTCTTCAAAAAACATCGTCACCTGCTGACGAATCACATCTTCTAGCTTTTACTTCCTTCAATTCCTGCGAACAATACTGACATCTAATCACAATGCAGCCTCTGACCACATCCGTATGCTGTATTAAAGATCAGCGTGATAGGTGAGCAAAATTAGATTTTTTTTTTTCTGCATCTGGTTTTTCTGATCCTTACCACTTTGATGGAATGAAAAGGGAAATGAGGAGAAGCAGAAACTGGCCTCTCTGTGCACATTTTGTCGTCTTGTACCTATTTCTGCATGAATCACATCGCACTTGTAATGTTTAATGTTGTTTATGAGACATGTCGTGGTTCGTGTTTACAGTGGAGGGCAAAGGGCTTATGGAAATTTTTTTTAGACGTAAACTTCTTCTTGCCTGTCATTCCTGACGCAGCAAGGAGTCTGGAGCATCTGCAGAGCTCCTTACGTGGGAGAAAGTCTCAACAGCTAGTTCTGGATCCTCTGGTCGTTATGGGACAGAGGAAAAATTAAGCTGATTTTGAAAGAAAACAATAGAGGGTCCTGTTTCAAAGTAAATATCGGTTGTTCATATCAGTTTTATTTATCAGACCAGTACAGACATGTAAAAGAAAAAGACTAATATCATCAGATACCGATTTTAGTATCACTATATCGTTCATCCCCAGTGGGATTACATTCTGCCTCAACCAGCCCTCTGTGTCAAGACTTTTTTTATGTTTTCTTGCAAACAAAACAATCAAATATCATGTATCATTTTCCTTCCACCTCATATATATTCACTATTTTGTGTTGGTCAATCACGTAAAATCCCACCGAATTATATTAAAGCAAGTGATTGAAAGGTGAAAAAGTTCAAGCGCGCGCGCGCACACACACACACACACACACACACACACACACACATACACAAAACACGCACTCCTAAGAGGTTGGAGCTATTGGTTTGTAGCTTTGGCGCTCTGCCAGCTTTTCGACCCTCCATCCGTCTGTCTGATTGAGCATGCTCATTACAACCTTGACAGCGTACCACAAGGGTTGCCAAGGATACCAAGCAGAGCTGCCAGGTCTTCCAATTGTACTCAAGTATCTGTTGGAAAATACATAAGCTCACCTAACTACATTTTAAATTTAATTTTTTATTTATTTTTTTTGCCTATACTGTACAACCACACGCACACAAATAACACATGAAGCACTTTGCTTCTCCCACATACCCTCTCCAGCTCCTCCCCTCTCTGGATCACTGTTAATCAGTCTCGTTCCATCTTCTCTCCACTGGCTGTCAGTGGCTTGTCAGAAGCCCGTCAGAGCCCCTGCAGTCCGTCACACACTGCTGCCGTTAATGACATCTGATGACACCCGTCGTCGAAGTCACCCACCGGAGATGACTCGTCTTCCTCGCCGCTTTCAAATGCTTTTCTTTTGTTCTGGCGGCGGCGGGGTTTGAAACCCGGCTTCGTGTCGCCGTTAGACTCCCAGCTCTGCCCAACTCAACCCCGAGATCCAAATGAAACAGTAAAGCGCGAAGTTATAACTGTGGGATCATAAGTAGCAGATGTGGAGGAAATTATGAAAGCTGTGAATAATGAACAAAACTTGGAACATCTCCATTGTGAAATGTTAAGTACATTCCCTCACTCGAAAGGGAAACGTACACCTGATCCTGACATTTTCTAAATGTTCACATAAGCAACCGGAAAAGGTTGAACTTTTGCTTTTAATGGCTAGCTACAGCTCAGCTTTTCTCTGAAACTATAAGCGGAATGCACTTTTCTTTGTGCCTTTTTTGTCTTTTACTGCCTTTCTCTTCACTCTCTCCACTTTCCCGTTTTGCTGGCTTTTCTCTGTTAGAGCCCGTCTGTTTTGCTCCTTGCAGAGCTCCTTCCTCACCTTCTGTTGCTGCTCTCATTTTCTCTTCTCCAGAGGAGGAAGTGGAAAACTTTGACGTGTCCAGTCTCCAGGAAGAGGCTCTGAGGAACATTGAGGCTGACAGCTTCTGGTGCATGAGCAAACTGCTGGACGGCATCCAGGTAAAAAGCGTGTGTGTGTGCGCGCGTGTGTGTGTGATTAAACAATGAAAGCAGTATATATACATTAAAAATCCCTTTTGTTTGACTTGACGTTAAAGCTCAGATTAAAATGTGTTCACACTTCCAAATTCAGAAATTTCCCCTCATTCTTCTTTAGATTTCCAATTAATTTGTGCCTGGGCTTTGACTGGGCCATTCTAAACCATTCCATTGCAGCTCTGGTTGTATGTTTGGAGGCACTGTCTTTCTTTTCTGAAGTTTCTTTATAACAATTGAGTTATTTTTCATGTCTTTGCTGTACATCTCCACAGCATGATTCTGCCTCCACCGTGCTTCTTAGTCCTACAGTTATATGCAGTTTCGGTTTTCTGCCGTTACATTGCTTTTGGCAAATCACAAATAGGACTTCTTAAGGCTATTTTTTCAACAATATTTTTCTTCTTTCCTCCACCAGTTTGCATTTACTTCCTCCTCTTGCATTAATGATAACAGTGCTCCATGAGATATTCAGAGCTTGGGTTATTGATCGGCAACCTTTCTAACCCTAAGAGCCATTTTTGCCCTTGGTTCAGCTAAGCAAAATTTGTTTAGATTCTCTAAAGCTACATGAATGAAAATATCTTTCTTTTTTCAATGGAAAAAGGAAATTTTTGATTTTTGAATTAAACAATTTTCGTTAGGCTTTAGGTCACTCAAGCTTATTTGTATAACACATTTCACCAACAAGGGAGTTCACAGTGCTTTACATCCTAAAAACATGATACAGTAACCAGTTATGAAACGGGCAGTAAACATTACGTTTTGTCAAATGCCATAATCAAGCAAATATACATTAAATATGTTGGTCTAAGCTCCAGTTTTTAGTAATCAAAGGCAACTTTAAGCAGGAAAACTTTAACTCAGTGTTTCAGCAGTTTTGCAGTTTTCTGCAAGTTTCTTTTAGATCAGTGGGAGTTTAAAACCTGAATGCTGCTTCAATATCAAACTTTGACATGAAGTGAACCAATACATTTTCTTTAACAGAATATTTAACAAAAAAAAGCACATAAGTTTGCAATCGGATGACAAAAAAATTCCTAAAAAAAATATCCTTTTACTTTTGGTGTCATTCTTGGTGGAAATGTTATACATGTACTGCATTGAAGCAGCTAGGGTCTCCATGCCATTACATTTCGGAACATCACTTAATTATTTTTAAAACATTTTTGGCCACAGTGGAAAATGTAACAGTGGATTTTATTTAGGAGGATTGGAGTTAAAGTGATCGAATAATTTTTTCTTCCACAATTTTCAGACTATTTGCGAAAACATTTAATGCTTTCATTATGTGCTGCTACTTGCAAAATGTCATAAATTTAAGTAGTACGAATATCTTGCACTGAATCATATCAAAGCTCATCGGAAGAAAACAAAGGAAGCTTGGAAACAGTTTGGTATCTGGTGTAGTGACCATCTGAGCTGCAGCTTTAGCAAATCCTTAAACCAACAGGTTTGTCTTCACTTTGATTTTTGTGTCCATGTGAAAGTCGCTTGTTCGCAGCAACTGAACGCAGTCTAGACTGGTAGAAACCCACACGGACCTCTGTGTGCACACGCTGCACACGCCGTGTGCTCGGATTCACCGAAAGCGGTCCGGAGCATCTCGAAAGCCTTTGATTGCAATCTTGATTTGGTTTCGTGTTTTCATCCTGAAGCTTTTTGGCCACCAGCTCCTCTCCATCGACCCCGGCTCTCAGCGGTCACGGTCCAGCCATCTGTCAATTCCAAACGGGGCCCGCCTGAGCCGATGGTGGAGTCAGCTGCACCGCTGCTACTTAGCACCCTCCGTTCTGGCTTTGTTTCTCACACGCCTTTGGCTTCCTCTCCTTAATATCGTTTCGGATTTGTGAATTTTACTAACGGTGTCGGGAAGTGCCGACGTTTTAGCAGAGCTTCCATAAATCAGAGGTTAAGAACTCTGCCTCTCTTGATCGTTTCTCTTTGTTTGTGTCGCCGTAATGGATGCATTGTATTTGCGTGACTGAAAAATTTTCGCCCCAGCCCCGCTCTAAAGGTAATTAATAGTCCAGACCTTGTGTTCTGCATAAAATGTGAGCATCCTTAAATAACCGTTAACCAGTTGCTAGGCTATTCATTCAGGAAATTAATAGACGCTGTGCCTTGTTGCCCCCTGAGAGAGCAAGACGCAGCAAAAGGAGAGCTGGAGTGGAAGGAAGAGAGAAGGAGGATACAGTGTGTGCTTCCGCATGCTTGTGGCGGCGGCGCGTCCCCGCGCTTGTGTCTGTGTGTGACCTTGGCTCCGGACTAATTATGTGCAATGCACCAGGGAGGCCCCGTGTTTCCCCCCTAATGCTTTCTAAACAATCTGACCGAGGGTTGGTGCCTGAGCGCTGTAATTAGTTGGTGATCCTTGCTCCGACCTCGACTGCAGCCCCTCCCACATCCACTGTACGCTGTTGCAGTAAACTGAGGGGGCGAGGGCGGCCGGGTCGGCGCTTTGATAGAAAGCAGAGGGGATACGTGGTCGGAAAATGTTTTTTACAAATTAAAAATCTGAAATGTGTGGTGTGCATTTGTATTTAAACCCCTTTTTTTTTGTGATGTCCATAAATGAAATGAGTAAATTGTTGTGTGCTGGATAATCTTCAGAGGTTTGTTGCAGAATATTTGTGAACAAATGATAATGCAGGGACCAAAAAACGCAGCAGTGTTGGGTCAGACCTTTATTTTATTTTTTTACTTTTATTCACTATTCAATAATTAGTTCATTAGTTTAGCATAAATGCTGCCTCATACCTTCTGGTTTTAGTTACATAAATGAGCACAGTGAATAACATTTCAATTTTATCCTCGCTCATATTTCATAATAGTGATTGAAAAACAGGTTAGGTTTGTTTTTGATAAAACATTAGTTAAGAAATGTATGATTTAAAACTTTATAAGATTTAATTTTGTGGTTTTGTTTTTGCAATATTTTTAAATTTATCCTCAAGGTAAAACAGGGCTTCATTCAAGCGCACGCCACACTTTTCAGATATGTTAAAATGTTTGAAAACCACAAGTCCTTCTCCTTCCACTGCTTCAAATGCGCTGCTGTTTGTCACCTAAAATCCCAACAAAACACAGTTCAATTTGTGGTTGCCCAGCGTTGTGGGGGGAAAAAAACTACTAAAAAATAGTGTGTGCTTTTCAAGGCAGGTAAATGTTCTCATTACTAAAAATGAATTTACTTGCAGAACAAAGCTGGCTAAAACGTCTCCACACCAGCCGCAGTGTGCGAGTAGATCGACTTGCTAGCCTTTAGTTTTTTCCTCCTTTCTTCATTACAGTAAATTATCTATTAGCGCTGGCTTTAGTGCCTCGCTGCTAAGCTTCTCTTTTACCTAAAAGGGAGCGTTTTGGCTGTCAATTCACTTAAGCAGCCTCTTTAATGAGCTGCCGCTTTAATTGGCAGCATCGACCCCCTCTGCCTCCCCTCGCCCTCCAACATACACACACACACACCCCATTTCCTCTAAAGATCATGCTGGACTGAAAGATTCAAGCAGTTCTGTTTTTTGTGTTGAGAAATTAGACTAACTCGACACTTTGTAAAGAGATAAACATGCCGACTTTCATAGAGATGCAAAACGGTTCTCAATGCGAGGTTATTGATGAGTTTATTTTGGATCTTCCACACACACACGCCACCTAGTGGACAGTGGAAGTGGGTTTCATGTGTAAGGTGAACGTTTTTCTGACACTGCGGGGAATTTCTCCTTTAAGCGGACAAGCGAAGGGAGCGCATCAGCACAAAAATGCCACACAGACCATTTGTAACATTACAGTAAAGAATTGCGCTACAGTCTCAGCCCTTTGACTACAAACATTCAAATGAAGCGTTGTTTATTAATGTCATCCGGTCATGTGATCCGTTAAAGTGCTTTTAAGGAAGGCAGGTGCTGTCATAAGCCGCCCTTCAGATGCTGCAGTGAAAAGTGAAGATGAGTTTTCTTTGATTAATGAGTTTGCCTGTTTTAGATGAATCTTTGAGCTGACCCTCACGCTGGCCCAGGCTTTTCTTCAGCCAATTAGTCTGGTAGCGTGGACGGCGCCTCCGGCTAACTTCACTAATTTAACTTGTCAAAGTGGTTCCGCGAAATTGTTTCATTAAATTTCAGTGGAGCTGTCATAAGTGTGTGTTGTTGATTAAAATCTGTTTTTGTTCATCAGAGATTTAAATTTTTTATGTATTTGCGAAAAGGAAAAAAAAAAACGTGCTCCTCATATCACATTTTTTGACTAATCCACTTAATGCGTTCTTTTCACATGCAGCCAATGAGCTTTTGTCCCTCTCTCGGACTGGAAAACGAAGTCAGAAACTTTTGAGAAGTCCATTTTTCCTCCTGCTTTAACCTCAAGGGATCTCTGTTTTTAAAAGCCAGCAAAACCTGTCTTTTATGCTAATTCTGCAGATGTGCCCTTTACAACGGGGGCTCTCGAATGTATTTTTTGCAGTCCTGGACCCTAACTTTGAGAAATGTAATCTCGCCCTGGGATCTAAAGTTATTATATTTCAACAGTAACCCTGACAAATGGAAGTGGAACCTTAAAAATTTCTTCTTTTTTTTTTCTTGTCACAGCCCCAGCGGTTTGGGGATACTACTTCTCACTATGCTGATATTGCTCTGAAAGTACAAGGAAGCTTTACGTGTTGAAGAGAACTTTTAGCCGTAGTTTGCCCGGGTTCTGAATAAGTTTGGCTGTTTGAGTTAATCTGCAACCAAAGACTGCATCATGAATTAAATACAGCTGCAAACATCAAATATAATTTGATGTTTGCAGCTGTAATTTGGGAATGGCATGCTCCCTCTCTCAAGTCCATAAAGTAGAATAACATAAAAGTTTATTAGAGAGAAGAGAGAAATTAGCAATTGCTTTATGCAGGCACTTTTTTTTTTTTGTTTTTTTTTTTTTTTTTTTTTTTTTTTACCAATAACCTTGAGAATGACATCCACAGC